CCCCACCTCAAGTGTTCAAAGAATTCTATACCTTGGCCATTTTTGCTGCTTTTCTGACTCATGGTCAGAGACAACATAAAGTGAGACTCAGGGTCGAGCATGTCTCAATATGGTTGGGGGGGGGGGGCAACTTAATGTTCATCTCTTTTTCGCCATATAAATCGTTCTGCGTATGCTAGATTTGCTTTCAAACAATCCAAACCTCGGCGGTCACAGGAAACACCAAGTTCTACTGCCCCTAGACAGAACTCGTGAAAAGCACACCATCTGCTGGACATACTGATAAGGCTAGAAACTCAGATAGCGCGGATCCTGATTTGACTGATTTTTTTCCTCAACCTCTGCTGGTGACGAACTTTGTCTTTGGGATAAACCGAAAACATGGCACTGCAACTGTGCCGGCCAGCCAGTGTGTGGGTTTGTAATTGTAACTGTAACCACGAGTAGATGTTTTATTGTTTTACGCCCCCATCAACACAATTTAGATCATTTTGAAGGTGGGCTGCTTAAACTCATTTCTATGGGCAACCTGAACTTGATAGGAAGCGTAACACAAGACACACGGAGATACTCGATAAAAAAAATCTCCCTACTGGGGAGTCGAACTCATGTCTTCTGCGTGTGACATCGCAGAGCCTAACCTGTATACCTCAGACGCTAGTGAGGCGTTAGTGAAGTTGTTTGGAGTTGTGGTGATTTATTTGGTCGAAAGACGTTATATTTAAGACTTCTTCGGCGTGCTGTTGATGGGAGGGGAGGGGGGGGGGACTGGTAGTTCCTTCTTCTTTTCTGTGCCCCTGTTATTTGTCTTACTTTTTCCCTTGCACAAAATGGTCGTTATTGTGTCGCTGTCCTTTTCAATCCTCAGACAAACAAACATCTATTATACAGACTTCAACGTAAGTTAAGGACCACCTTGACAGACAGCCCTTTTTTTAATCCGCGAAAAGACAGCAAGGAATGTTAAAAAGACTGTTTATTCTGAAAGTGTCCAAGGGGTTAACAATGCGTACTGCAAAGCTTCCTAAAGGAGCAAAACCACAACGGGCAGCACTGAAATCTCCGGGGAATTTTAGCCAAATTTGCAAGTGGTCCTTATCTTATGATGAAATCTGTATCTGGACATCATTTAGATCATTTAGGAAGTGGTCTGCTTCAGCTCTGCTTGTTGATTGGGCTGAGTAGGGTATGATGGTGGCCAAACAGACAGACGAAGATACTGAACTGAATGTAATAACTTCTCCATACGGAAATCGAACTCCCGCGTTCTGCATACAACAACGTGCTTTATGACCTACCCTGCTGTAAATTGTGGATTAAGTAACTAATGTATTTCTATTCTCTTTAGATGTAGCCTGCCAAAGTCACACCCATCTCCAAATTCGGAAAAGTGAAGTCGGCATAAGTTTCCCTTTTTTACGTTTCTGGCCAAATCTGCGGCAGACATAGGCGATCACGGTTGCTCGGATGCTCTTAAAAAAGCTACTTTACCCTGATCTTTCCTCGTTACCCATTGCTTTGAGTTATCTAAGAAGGTTGTTCTTGGTCTGCCCATGCCTCGATTGCCTTCAGTTTTACCAGTGAGAGCTAGATGTCCAAGACCTTGATGTCTCTTCAGGTGTTCCAAAAACTGCATTTGTCTTTTCCTGATTGTTTTTATTCAGTGAGCATTCGAAGTGGGCTTCATCAAGAGCTACCTCATTTGATTTCTTTCGCTTCCAAGATATCCTAAGTAGTCTCCTTGGAAACCCTATTTCTGTTGCTTCTATTTCATGTTCAGTATTTACTTATTGTGCAGCATTTACTGCCATATAGAAGGATTGGCCATGCATAGTATTTCAGAACTTTCATTTTGGTAGTCATTGAGATGTTTTAGTTTTTCAGGATTGAACCCATTTTATTAGAATTAGCCTTAGCCATTGCAATTCTTCGTATTCTTTCTGTGGAGCGTTTGATTCAGATGTTATTAAATATCCTAGATATTTAAAATGTTGGACTTGTTTGATCTTTTGCCTTTACTTATGAGGTTACAAATAGGATTTGCTGCTTTTATTTTAGATATTACCATGCATTCTGTTTTCTTCACATTCAACAATGGCCCTTTAGGTTCACTTTCCGTTACAGCAGTATCTGAAGCAATTGAATGTCTTTTTCTGAGTCTGCTATTAAAACCGTGTCATTGACATATCTGATGTTATTAATATTTTCGCCATTCACTTTGAGACCAGGATATTTTTCTATGCTTCTAAGGATTGTTTCTCTGTTTATGTTAAAGAGGTCTGGCGACATAACACATCCTGCCTCCATTGCCTCACTCCTCTTCTAATCTGCTTTTATACGCTGTTGCCTCCATTAATTCGTTTCCCAGCCTTTTGGTCCCTGTACAAATTCCTGATAATTCTTACGTTTTTTCCATCTATGTCTAGTTCTTAGAGTAATTTAACTAGCTCATCATGATTAACTTTATCAAAAGCCTTTGTATAATCTATGAAGCATAAATACAGATCTCTCTGTGCTTCAGTCCATCTTTCCATTAACATTGTTAGGTGAATACAGCATTTCTGGTGCCCTTGTCAGGACCATAGCCGAACTGTGTTAGAGATATCTCTGGTCTTAGATATTTCATTATTCTTCCGGTGAGTACTCGTAGCAGGATTTTTAACATTACTCTTAGGAGCTTCAAAAGATTCAAGAAATTAAAAACCGTTCCAAACGCTTATCGTACATTAAATGACTGTATGTACTAAGCTGAACCCATCCCTTCCTCAACCAAATGTAAGTTTATAGGAGGTCGTATGTTTCAACAGATTCTGCCAGTTAGGGGCAACCTAGGCTGAGTGAACATCGTACGGGTCGAGGGAGGGTTGGAAGGCAACAAATTGGTGAAAAAACTTACTTACACAGACATACACACGCGCGCGCACGCACACACACACACAAACACACACACACATACACACATACACATACACACACACACACA